TTAAAATTCCTTAAAAGTTAACAATTACATATAATTAGCACAATTAAAAATATTTAAACATCAGCAAAGGAAAATATTTTTTTTAAAAAAAAAACTACTGGTATCTGCAGTAAATCATTTCTTCCGAATCTTTCATGCATGAAATTTTTTTAATTAAAACGCATTATAAAATGGAATTTAGTTGCAGGATCTGCCATAAAAAATTTTCAACTTGCGGTGGTTTAACATAATATACTAATGCCAAACACCGTGGAAGAACGTCACTTTCTCATAACGAACCTGTTTAGCAAAGACCCTTACAATCATCAAGAGAAGTAACAATACCAGAACATGATGCAATACTATGGAATACATCAATTATAATGCCAATTCCAATTACTTCACAAGAAAAGTCTGCATCACAAGATGATATCGTTGAAATAGAGGGTATAGTATTTAACGAAAACCCAACTCAAGAAAATGAAAAATTAGTAGATGTTGAAGTCAATTTGAAAGTAAGTCACGCTATAATCTACAAAAAAGAATACGGCCTACAAATATTATAGAAGAGAGAGCCAATGAAGAAGAGTCAGAAGTAGAAATTCTAATAAACCTCGAAGACATTGACTTGGATTCTGAAGATCTTCAGGGAGCAATATTAAATGGTGCTTTAGATGCTGTTGAAGGAAAAAATTTGCCAGAAAATATTGCAAATTGGCCTAATGATGCATATTGGAAATTCATGGAGTTAATTGTAGAAGGCAATATTTCTAACAGTATCGGTGATAAAATAATTAAATTCTTCAATAAACATAGCGATTTGAATGAGTTTCCATTGCCCAAATCAACTAAAAATGGTAAAGACTACCTAAATCAAATAAACTCGCCGTTGTTAAATTTCAAAGAAAATGTTGTTTTAACTAGTTATGAAGTTGATTTTACGCTTTATTATTGTCTAATTTTTCATGCAATTCAAACTCTTTTACAACACCCAAAAGTAGCTGATAATTTTGTCCATAAGGGAATCTTGAATAAAGATAAAAACAGTGGAATAAGAATATTTGGCGAACCTTATAAAAGTGACTGGTAGTTAGAAACGAAGAAAGCCCTTCTGGCGTTAAATCACTTATTATCAATCATTTTGTATTCAGATGCAACAACCTTCGATGGGCTTGGCAAAACATCAGGGCATCCAGTATTTTAACATTTGGTAACCTTTCAAATTCAATTCGAAATTCTCCAGAAGCTAAAGTTCTTATAGGGTTTTGTCAAAGGTCCAAGATATAGGATTTAAATCTGACGAAACCTTTCAAAACTTTCAGCGTGAAGTGTATCACAAATGCTTTAAAATTATTCTTCAATCCCTGTTGGAAAAACCTGATGCGTTATATTTTGGAATTAAGGGACGTAAACTGACTTTTGCTGAGCGGATTTCATTTTTTCTTGCAGATATGCTCGAAGCTGATGAAGTGACTGCAACATATAAATACGCAAGATGTAAAATGCCATACCATACCTGTATAGTTTCGCTAAATAACCTAAATAATATGGATCTTAGTCCAGAAAACATGCCTTCCAGAACCTATAGAAACATGCAGGAAATTATAAAAAATGGACAAGGAAAAGAATTTTCTGTGCATTCTGTTGAAAACGCTTTCTGGAAATTCCCGTAAATATTGATTACTATATTTTTTGTGACTTTTTTAAAAAAGTGTGAAGTTTTTTACTCATATAATTTTTATAGAAATCTTAATATTTACAAAGCTTGTGTTCCTGACCGAATGCATCATATTGATCTTGGATTTTTCAAGTATCAATTAGACTTTACACAAGAGATTTTAAAGAGAACTGGAGGAACCAATTTGCAAAAGAAATTCAATGATCGTCTTCGACAAATTTCTCGCTTTTCTGGCCTTAAACTCATAAGTCATTTAGGACAATTAAAGGTAGTTACTGGGGCAGAATATCATCACATTATGAAAATCGCAATTTTCGTATTAGATGAAATTTTTGAAGATGAGAACCAAATAATCTGTACTGAACTTTGTAAACTTTATGCGAAGTTTGGCAAAATGTATATAATGAGTAGAAAAGAATCATTCACCGAACGTGATCTGAAAATCTTTGAGGTAGGGGTTTTTATAATGGTTGTACGTCACATTTTAAACTTTAAAGATTATCATATTATTATTACCCAAAATAGGATACTATTGTTGACTGGTGTATCAGTTTCAAGAAAATATTCTCACCATTATCAAAAACGGAATGTAGTTTTCCTAAGTTGCACAGTTAGCAATATCATGCAAGTCAGTAAGACACATCAAGTTGCCGCAGACATACTGACGATTTTATTTTGATTTTACATTTCAGTGCCTGCCATTAGAAAATATAGTGCATTAAATGGGTTATCAACAGAGACATATGAAACTCTCCATAAATTATATGTCAAAAATCCATATCGGGCATCAAATAGAAGAAATGTGATGAAGCAACTGGTGAACGCGGTTGGTTGAGTTTTTTTAACAGAGTATCTTTGATTTCTTTGAAATATACCGTACATAAATATTCTAATTTTTACAGATAAAATGTAAAGAATTGATCCCAACCACCAGAAAGGTTATTTATCGTAAAACCAAAGGTTTTAGAAAACTTCTTTGAGAATTACCTTTGGATGTAATCGATCAAAAAATAAATCTCTAAAAAAATCTAAAGACCCACCACATCAAAGTTTCATTGAAGGATTAACGCAGATTATTTCATCTCCAGATGTTTTTTTAGATACGACTTCATTAGATTCTGAAAACGTGGATAAATTTTATATTAAAATTTATGATGCAGTACATCTAGAAAGTGGTGAAATTTTGAGAACGACTGGCGAATTTCAGGGCAAAGAATGGTTTAGTAATATTTCAGTTACCCACGCAGAAGATCAAGGACAATATAGTTCAGATGAAGGAGCATGGTATGGAAAAGTAAGTAAACTTTGATTGACGCCAAAGTATAATTTTTTGCTTTGATTTCTTTAACAGACTGAATATCTTTTAAAAGGTGTTGTTATTGTTCAAATTCTTCTAAGGATCGTTCAAAGAACTATATAAACTCGCTCTTGTTCGTTGGTATAATATCTATCCAGTAAAATCTGAACTTTACGGCTGTTCACAACTATACTACACCAAAGAATACAATATGGTTCCAATTGAATCTATTAACCAAGAAGTTCATATCGTGCTAAGATTCGATAAAGAAAATTGTTTTTTACTAAATAAATATATGTTTTGAAAAACTTCCCAGCGCAAAAAGTTATTAGCGATTTTTAAATAAAAAATCGAATAAAGTTAAAAAACTTTAAAAGTAAAAAACTTGTATTTAGTATTAAAAAAGTTAAAGTTTAAGGTTAACGCAAAATTTTATTAAATAAAAAATAGCGATCTCTAAGATTGCAGAATACCGCAGAATTCTATTAGAAAAAATTAGCAATCTCCAAAATTACAGTTCTTCGAAGATATTATTAAAAAAGCATTTTAAAAAAAAACAGGAATTAGCAACTTTAATGATTAATGCAGAATTTTAATCAAAATTTTTAAAATAATAACGGATATCTGTAAAATTGCAGAGTACTGCAGAATTTTATTAGAAAACATGTATAAAAAATTAGCAATCTACATATTTGCAGTTTTCCGTAGATTTTATTAAAAATTGAATAAAAAAAAGCGGAGATCTGCAAAATTTGCAGATCTCTGCAGTTCTGAACCTAAATTAATTTCCCGATATAACATATACTTTTGTTGGACTCTCTAAGTATAGATTTAATCGTAGTAATAGGTAGTTGTGGTGATGGATTCGTTAGAGAAATTCTAGATGAAGACCACGTCTTTACTAAAGTTGAGAATTTAGCTAGTTTAAAATAAAATATATTTAATATATAATTGATAATTTGAATAAGTAAAACAATAAAATTAATATAATACCTTTTTTTCCTATAATTTTTCTGCTCTTAAACTTCTTTCCAGTATTTTATTAACTATATAAAGATATTACATTAGTATCATTTTAACCCTAAAATTACAAAACTCTAATAAATCTGAAGAAATTACATTTTGTTATAAAACTTGTGATTTACGAGAAAGAAGTGTTCACGTGGGAAAAGAGTGGTTCGCATGGAAAAATAGTTCGTATGAAAAAAAGAATTAATAAAATAGCTTAATAAATTATATTAAAAAGGCAATTATGTAATAGTGATTCTGGAGTTGATCGATAACATATAATAATTATTCTGGAGTTAGTTGATGCATATGGATCATGAATGATCACCAATAGTAAATCTGATATATTTAAAATCTTATAATCATGAAGTAATAAAAATTGGATCACAAGTTGATGAATCGGTTATAAAAGTATTCGATAACAATTTTTTATTTATTTTATGATGAAAAACAATTTTTTAAAAAAATACAAAGATTATTAATTATACAAAATGAGTTTGTGTTGTCCTTACGAAGAATGTAGCTGAACCTTTACAAAACAACAGGGTTTGATACAAAATATTCAGCATCATCACCCTTTTGTAGAAAATGAATAAGAAGAGATATAAAATACCGTTAGTGATGATGATGCAGTTATTTTTCAAGATGAAAAGGTATTTGAAGAGTCAGATCTATTTAAAAGAAAATCATCTTGAGTTGAATCGATTAACTTTAATAATACTGAGGTGAGCTTTCAAGATACACAAAATCAATTAATATTTAATATAAATATTAATCATTTACATCTATTACTGACCTAAAATATAAAATATATTAATAGGAATTAGATAATTTTTCGATAGATGAAACATCATTAGAAATACAAAACTCTCCTTATTCTCCTTTGTTACAAGAACTTGACTATGATGAGGAAATTATGAGTGATAATGAAAATATCATATATGGTTTGGATACTGATATTGATTCGGTAGATTCTGAAGATTTTCGTAGAGCTAGCTTTGAAGATGCAGTAAATGATATGATCAATGAGCATATTCCATAGTGGCTTAACGAGATTTACCAAGAATTCGCAAAGATATGTGTAGATTATAAACTATTTAATCAAGCGATCAATTCATTCATTCACTTTTTTAACAAAAATGCGAATTTAGAAAAATCGCCTCTGCTAAAGAATTCTAAGGAGATGTATGAATTTATGAATTCAATGGCGGTATTGAACCTCAATTTTAAAAAGAAATTTATAATCGACTTTGAGGACATTCTATATATCCTTCATTATCGTCCAATAATAAAGACAATTAAGACACTTCTTCAAAAATTGGATATGACTAAGGACTTTGTGTTTCAGTTTGAAGAAAAAGTAAAGATTAATATAGTATGTAAGTTCTTATTAATTTTAGTTAGTCAACTTATATTTAAATTAGAATCACTTAACTTCAGTATGATTATAGGATGGTAATTCTTCTCGAATTTATGCCGAACAGTATAATTGTGATTAGTGGCGACAAGCAGAATCTGATCTAAAGTTTGAAAGTTGAGTTTTATCATTAATATTATACTCTGACGCGACTCTTTGTGACAGTCTGGGTAAAACTCAGCAGCATCCAGTTTTCATTACTTTAGGTAATATTCCTTCATGGCAAAGAAACAAAAAGGATGCTAAAGCATTACTTGACTACCTGCTAATTCTTCGAAGTAAGAATCAAATAATCAGAAAATTGAAATACTTTCGAAGACTTTCACGTAGAGTCATAAAAAGGTGTTGGAGTATTATGTTACGTCCTATTCTAAAACTTGAAGAAATGGAATTAATGGTTAAAGGCGTACAAATTACTTTCGCTCTAAGGATCTCTACATTTATTTTAGATATGTTAGAAACAGACGTGGTTACAAATACTTACAAATTGACCAACTGTAAGATGCCATGCCCGAATTGTACAGTGTTGTTTGAAAACTTAAACAATATGAATCTTTTGAGAGATGATATAATCCTACAAACACCCGAATCAATGGCTCTCGTAATTCAAGAAGGGGAGGTCTACGATTATTCGATATATGATCAAAAAAATGTATTTTGGTATTTTCCGTAAGTAACTTCGATGATTCAACTTGATTGCTTGGTATTGTATTATTGTTTATTAATTATATATCAAATAATTCCGTTTAATACTCTAAAAGAAACTTAAATATATATGAAGCTGCTTTATCTGATCGAATGCATCACTTAGATTTAGGACTCTTCGGATATATGATAGATTATATGCAAGAACTCTTAAATGAACAATGTGGAAGTTAGACAATTGATGAATTTAATAATAGACTAGCAGCAATCCCAAAATTTCCTGGATTAAAAATCTTCAATAATGGTATTACCACTGTATAAACAGCAAATGAGTATCGAATGATAATGAAAATAATAGTCTCGATACTTGATGGTTTATTTGATGACAATGACCTATGTGTTAAAGAACGAAATCGTAATAATGATCATCAATATATATCTTCAAATCGGCTAACTTCTGTATTTCTTTTCTTTATTCGTATGTACTTGATGAGCCGTAAAGAGGAATTTTTAGAAGAAGACCTATATGAATTTGAAGTAAATGATAATGAAATATTTTTTATAAATTATATAATTTTATTAAATATTATACTTACTTATCTTGATAGGATTTGATCATAACGTGGAATCATGAATTTGTAAATATATTTTCTCAATTTAATCCAAGTGGATTGTGTTTACCAAAACTATATTCTTGAAGATATCATGTGATTTCCGCTATTCATCGATTTGGAGCAATCAATGGATTCACAACAGAAACTTATGAGACTTTACATAAGTTTTACGTCAAGAACCCATATCGGAAAAGTAACAAGAAGGAGGTTATAGGCCAAATCTTAAATAAGGTAATATTTTTATCAGTTTTGTGCTTGATTATTTATTATTGATCTAATACTTTAATCATATTACTATTAATAAATCACTTAACTTAGATTTGTCAAAAAGCATTAATAGAGACTACAGGTCATACTAAGATAAGAAAGGGTAGAACATTGTCAGGTAAACTTTGGGATTTATATCTATTATCACTTAAAGAATATTTGCAAGTTTTCTGACGTTTAGAAACTATGGATCCTTTGCAAATTGAAGGAGTCGAAAATCTACTCTCAACTCTTGACAATTTTCTGGATAATACATCTATAACATCTCTTAATAATGATGAAAGTTTTGTGCGGTTATATAAATGTGCAGTGCTGCAATCAATAGATATTATACGTGCTAATTCATCTTATAATAATGCTTTATGGTTCAGCAATATTGCTATTGCGATGGACGCAAAGGAAGCTATTAATTATACTACAAATCAAGGGATATGTTTCAGAAAGGCAATTATGCAATTATTATTATTGTATTTAAATTTTTTATTTTTATTGTAAAGTGACCTTTATA